ATAGGTATATGTAAAATGCCGGTACGTTTAGTGTTAAAAATGGATAAATTTTTGATTCATCCACTTTTCAAAGTTTCATACTTTTTAATATTGTAGTTATTTTTTTATGCAATTTTTTTTCTTGTAATATTGTGGCATTTTTATAATGTTTGTAGTTATCTGAAATCTCGCGTGATTTATTATAATTTTGTAGTATTTTTTGTAATATTCTAGTTATCTAAAATCACGTGTAATGTCATTTATTGTTGCTATTATAGTTACATTTATTCAGTACGTTACTATATCTCACCTAGAAGGTAAGATTATAGTAGAAGAACCAAGGAAAAATAAGGCACGATTTGGTTCGAAGCTAGTATACAAAGGACCTGGAAGTTTTTTTATTCTCCTTTCAGAGTATATTGGGTATCAGGATACCCTGGAAACTGTGCTCGTATTTCATCTCTAAAATTTCATGCCATTCATCCCTAAAACTCGTATTTCACAAAGTTGCTCAGAAGGAGTTTCTTGTTATTATATTAAATATTGTTGTAATTTTTTTAAAGCGACTTTTAAATTTCACAAACTATTGGAAATAGTACACTAGTTGACCAACACTAAACTACGCGATTTGTTCTGAAAGTTAATTTAATCAGTGAGATATATATACATATTTTTAACTAATGATATATTTAAACGATGAAAAATTAATACAAATTATAAAACAGATTTTTATTGCATTCTATGATGAATCAACTTGACGATTCATAGAATGAATAGAATTTTATGTGAGACAATAATTTCAAGCACGCTGTGTAAATTATTAACAGGTTCAATAGGCAGATGTAAAAAGGAAATATAAATATAAATTAAATATAAATATAAATAATATAAATCATAATAAAATAATATAAATATAAATTAAATATAAATATAAATAATATAAATCACACTTTTTCTTCTTTGATCTTCTGCACGTATTTTATATACTTTTCAGATTATAAAAATTGAACAACGATACAACTTTATTTTCTATTTTACGAGGCAATATTCACTAATTGCAAGACAATAAAAAGTAAACCTTGAACGAGGAAATTCGCGCCTTATTAATTAAATTGAAATCACTCGATCAATTTTCAAACTCGATTTCCTTGAATATTTTATTCTTCCCTTTCTCGACTCGTTTTTTTTTTTCGGTCGGTTACACCACCCTGTATAATACACTGTCTATCTATCCAATCCCTTGGTTCCGCCGAAACAAATTTGTTCCGAAAGTGTTTAAAACGAACGACAGAAAACTCTACTCCAATCATCGCGCCGTGATACAAAGTTCCACGACTTCAATGACTCTTGAGATTTTCATTTCGCCTCGGACGTTTTGTGCGAACCCGAGCATCGAGCATCGCAGCTGTCACAATTATTATCGTTTCTCTCTCTCTCTCTTTCTCGTCCCTGAGCGAGCGAATCGCTTTCCTTCACTCTCGGGGAAGAAGTCGGCAAGAAAAGGCCACGCAAGGAAAGCTATCTCGTAGAGAAACGCTTCTTCGAAGCTGCTTCTCGAGCAACGAGAGCTTCTCCTTTGATTCCGTGGAGAGGTACTTGCCTGATCGGTAATTACGGGAACTCGATTTCCAGCTCTTTGTCAGCTGGGGCCTTGACACTATCTCGACCCGTCGAGATTTCTTCAAATATCCAGCGAAATTTTGAGAAGACTCGCAGCAATCCATTGATGGTTTAAGATTTTATCACGTCAGTTATAATCTTGGTTGCAATCTTCATATCGTAATCGATAATTTTCAATTATTATCTTTCCATAGTAATTCCATGGAATTCTAGTCGATACAGTTGCATAATTCTGTCGACTAGTCGAAATGAATTATTTATATTTTTCTCGTGCAAATTTTACAAACTAATCGACACGAACGATTCGTAATTGTTCGTGGTAATTTTATAAATTTGCACCGGTGCACATTTTAAAGATTTAAATGACTTCTCTCAATTGTTGTATTGTAAATCTTTCTCTGTTCTTCGTATTTTAATCTCTCTAATACTTTAATCGTTGGATCTAGTTGTAATATCAGGTGTCTTGGACTCTTCAGATCCAACTTCTCAACTTCAATTAAACTCTCGGAATTATGTGGAATCACGTGTCGCTCATTTGCTGCTAACTCGAAATTTGCAGCTTTTGCGTTATTGCTACAGAAAGAAGAAACAGTTGTTAAATAAATTTCTACAATTGTACATGCTCGAAATATTACACATGGCAAAAACTTGGGAAATTACAACAATTCGAGCTCGTTTCCCCTAAAATCGATTGATCTTTTTTTCCAGTGAATGAGCGATATATTTGTAACGTTAATTAAACATATACGTAAATATCGCAGAATTTAAATACTTTCGACTCTTCGAACTCCAATTATTGTATCCATAAATTCTCGATTTCAATTAAACTCTCGGAGCTACTTACGCCCACTAAATATGTACGACGCGACACAGCCTGAAATTTAAACCGCGCTGTCGCGCCGCAATTACACGCGTCATTGCAAATCTGATTATTTAACCACGAAGCAGAAAACAGCGGGAGCAAAGAGCGGAATTTAAATTCAGACGCCAGAGAGTGAGAAAACAGTGAATTCTCTCCTCGTATCTCTCCAAAGCATACGCGTTACGTCCGTGTCAAAACGAGGCAGTCTGCGAGATCCCAGGCAGAACGAAGATGCTTCTTTGCACTGGTGAATACGAAATCCCCGTGGGTCGGATCGATACTCGATTCGAAATGAAGACGAAGCTATGAAACGGAGACAGACGGCTGGCTCCTCGCTTCCCTTCGCGAATCACGCGTGAATATCCTCCGCCTTTTACCAAACAAGAACACTCGAATTAACTTTTTGTTCTACGCAGATTTGAATTCGAAACGAATCTTGATAGTCTTTGACGAGGCGTTGAAAACTAGAATTAATTTTCGCGAAGCTTTGAGTGAAATATTTGATCGATTGAGGTAAAAAAAAAAAAAAATCGAAAGGTTAATAAGGTAGAAGACCGTGAAAGAGATTAAATTTATAGGGAAGTTTTAAAAGATTTCGTCGATCGTATAAAAAATGCAGGAAACGGAATTTTCAAGTATTTGATCGACAAGATTTCCGTGGATGGATAAAATATTTGATTTGGCCGGGCGAAGAAAGTAATTTTGGAACACTGGCTCGAAGAGAAATCTAATTTCTGAAGCAAGCTTCTGAAAACCATATAAAAAGTACAAAAATATCAGTTTTTCAGCAGACTTTGAAATACTCGATCGATCGAGCAAAAAGCCACGGAAAGAGCAATTTTCGTGAAATAAATTAAACTAAAATTAGAATAATTGAAATTCGATTGCACAGTGACTGATTGAAGATTTTGATCTCCAAAAAATATCTATCTACATTTGTCCTACATTAAAAGTAGAGATTGAACTTACTAGAATAAAGTGCAACTCTGAAATTGCAACGAGAATACCTGCAGGGGAATAAAAATAACCTGGTGTGCAAAATGTATCGAGAAATTGGCTAAATGTATAAATAGCACGCTACTCCTGCATTTTGCATCGGCAAGATAAATGTCGTAAGAATGAAATAAAAATACGGCATACAACCTGACAGTAGAATTGTTTTACCAACATGCATTGTTAAAGCTGCCTCTGCGACAGGATACCTACGTAAGATGGAAAAGTCACACTATATGCTTAACAGTATCGATTTAGTTTTAAAACGAATAATAAAATCGGTAACATACATATAGAATCGTTTCGAACCTAATAATCGATAACGATCGAAAAAGTGAAACTTGTTAAATTGATTTTCCTATTATTCTTCTAAGATTTTATATACGTGTATATCTAAGAATCCGTAGCTTCATTTGATACATACATTATTTGTTTATAACCGTGGAATAAGACAAAATTTACATAACATTTTTGTTCTTTTTATATGTAGATCAAGCTTCGTAGTTTGGCCGATTAAGTTTGCGTATTCTGTCAGAATACATTTAGCACGTACATTTATAAAATATATCTCGACCCAGAACGTGAAAGACTTCGACCTCTTGAAAACACCAACATTACGAATAAAATTACTTCGTGTAAAATCCCAGCCTGTGTAATATTCGTCGAATTTTACACAGTCGAATGATTCTCTAATAGGCGGAAAATTCGGAGATCCTTACAGTTGGATCGATCGATTAAAAATTTAATAAAGATTAGAAGTCGCCTGGCTCTTGAAAATTAAGAGGTAAAGAAAGAAACGGAGGGAAGCTTGTTCGGAAGAGAAGCAACCGGGAGAGCAAATATCCAATCGCTCGCACGCTGGCGAACGTTGCGCGCAGAATTTACATAGCGCGGCCCCTTTCCACGCACCGATGCCCCCGGATGCAAAGAAAGCTAATACCACCGAATATTCCCTGTAATCTTCTTTGAGTTACGATTCTACGTTCTAAACGACGTCGTTCCATAAAGTTTCTACGTTTACGGTCTGCCGCAAGTACCATTAATTCTGCCGGTCAACCGAGCGCTTCGATTACTTCCACCGTGGCGGAAACTCTACAGATGTCGAGACCGCAGCCGTGCCGATCTACCCTACACGATTTTTGTTTATCCAGCTCCGGTCGAAAGTCCTGCCTGCGGTCGCGTGGTTCACTTATCTTTGGCCTGTTGCCAATATCGGTTTTTCGGTTTTCGCGCCGCTGGAAAAACGCCATCTTTCCTGCCGATCGTTCCGTGGAAATCACGATCCAGATTCTCTCGCGGTCACCGGAACAGTCAGAGATTGATGTTTCCTCTGTGGAAATGCTGACTACGATGCTCGTTTGACATCATCAGCTGGCTGAAAGTACGTCTTGCGTTCAGACATATTTTTGAAATAATCGTCGAGAAGCAAATAATTGTAATAATTGTTGAAAAGGGCTGATAATATCGGTTGATACAGCTTCGTATATAAAAGATGATGTTGTAACGATTGTAGCTTTTAAATTGTGAAGACAGTCCTTTTTTTTCTTTTTTTTTTTTTTTTTCAGAGACGAAGCAAAAGATAAAGTGAGAATATTTTTATTCCCAAGAAATTGCAATAATTAGAATCAGAGCAGAATATTTGTATTCGAATATTTTCTATATCAATGAGAAATGAGTAATTTTGTGTAATTAAATATTTATACATAACTTCCGCTGAAATAATACAACAAACTGTCCCTAGTTTGATTGATAATAAAAGAATTTATGGGAAACAATATTGATGCGTAATTATGTAGAAAGTCGTGGTGAGTACTATATTTGTTTGAAGAACGAAGAATCTGCAAACATTGTGTTATAAAATAACACTTGCAACTTCAGAATATTATTATCCGTAATTTGTATGTACCGGATATTAAAATGTAACAATTGAAAACGAAAATTACAGATTTGCAAATAAAATCGAGGTTGTTCGGTTGAAATAGAATTACGAAGTGGAGATATAAAAACGAAATTGCAATTATAAATGAAAGTAAAGCTTGTAAGATATAAAATATACGTATATGAAAGTGTGAAGATTAACAAACAGGTGTAAAAATAAATAAAGAACGTTCTGAAATCTTTGCGAGAGAACGTAAATACATATTCTAGAGACTTTCGAGAAGAACAACGTGCATATTACGCGAATTATTTTTATTTATTTTTAAATAGAAATTCTCCAACCTCGGTGAAAGTCGTTCATCCGTCTGAAATCTAAATTGCAAACGTTCGAACGTCGTCGAGCTCTCGCAACCGATCGAAATTCCGCATAATTCTCCCGACTTGGTGATGACGACTTTTCAAAGATGCGGCGAGACACACGCGTCGTGCACCCAACGATTCCGATATAAAAATCGTTGCTATTAATATTCATCGTTGCAAATCCGAAAGCAATTCGCACGGTGTCGTGCCGCGGCAAATATACCGGTCACTGCTTTAAGCAGCGCGAAGCAATAAATCATTGACACGAGACGCAACTTCTTCCAGCGCCCTTTCGTTGTCTGAAAAACGCTTTGCGTCCCCTCCTACTTCATCCACGTCGAGGACGATTGAAAAGTTCAGAATTAATCTCTGCCGTTGCAAACGATATTTTCGAGACTTTTGACGAGTCGGAGAGCAATGCGTCTGCAAAGTCAACGAGTTTCGAAATAATCGAAAGAGTAATTTCAGTGTTGTCATTTTTGCAATTTACGTTATCAAACGTTAGTGTAAATGATATAATAGATTAATACTTTCGTAATTGCACTTGTACTGGGAAAAATATAGTTATTATTTACTAACGTAAAATAAAATATTTACTTCGACAAAATAGTAATTATTTATTTCGATTGTAATAGGAATAAAAATTGTTTAACTTTTTCTGTTTAAAAATTAAAAATTACTTAATCTTTTAAATTAAATTCAGCGAGTTGGTGATTTACATGGGTACACTATCGTGTTTTAAAAATCGAAGAAATCCTTACACTTAGAGGTAGGAAATAAATAATACGAATATACGTTTCATGCTTAAGTTATATATTTTTTATACAGAATTAAAAACTTCGTTTTCGTCACCTTTACTGCGTGTAACAATTACATCCTTATGTGTTTCTTCGTGTTTTTATTTTTGCGTGTTATACGTATTGCGTGTTCCGCAGGCTATTAAATCCCTTCGTTTCAAATCCGGCAAAAATTGGATCCATCATACCCGATGCTTTTCAATCAATTAAGCGCGCAATAATTCAGAACGGAAGAAGGATCGCGGCGCGATGAATTGTTTGCCGCCGATGCGAATGAACGAATGCAGGGATAGAGAATGAAGCGGGAAAACAAAACGAAAATTTAAAAAAATGAAAAGAGAGAGAGAAAGAATGAGTCGAACGTGCGGAAGAAAATCATCGATTCATTAACGTAATTAAACGCCCGCGTCGATATGCTCCGTAAATAAATCCGTTTCGAATTTAGTTTGCGCCGCGTCTGGCGGCTCACTTTTTGAAACGGCAGATAATACGGAATCCCCGAGCATATGCTGAAACCTAGTCGATTGAAAATAAATCTATCTATCCACTGCGTGTGATTTATTTCCGCTCGCCTCCCGTTTTTGTCCCGTTTTGTCCGAAACGTGCTGATAAATTTCGTAAAATATTATCGAATCGTCGATCATGCCTCTCTCTTTTATTTCATTATCTTTTCTCTTGTTCGAAAAATACATATTTCATCGGAATGGATTGTTAAATTTGCCTCTCCTCTTACTGTGAAGATACAATTTGCATTTTTTCGTAATTTCATTATGTTTTCGTTAAATATATATTTCACAGATGAAACGTTTGGAGGAAGTTAAATTATAAAATATCAAAATGATATCGCCGCAAGCAATTGTAGAAAAATAAAAATTTTGTTGTCAAAGAAAAAAGATAATAATAATAATAATAATGTTGTAAAGTTCAATATAGTCTAATAACAATATTCAATCGCATCGTATAATATAAAATCTGGTAATAATATTAGAAAATATTATAATAACAAATATAACAGATATAATATTTGGTAACGTAAAAATACACAAAATACACATATTCAGGAAAAATTTAGTTATTCGGTGTTGAGCAGTTTAGTATTTCCCAAACAGAAAGTTATTTCCCAATATTTCGTCGCATTGACAATGAGAATTCAAAACGATTCATACGTACAAAACTGACGTTTGTTACTACGAAAATAATTCGAACTCTATCATATATATTTTTCACCAAATACAATACATATGGCTTCGTGTATTTAGAAGTCCATTTCGAATTTTTTTCACACTTTTTTCTCCTCCCTCCCCATTTGCACGAGAAAGGTCGATTGCATTTGTCACAAGTAGAGTACTTGAAACTTGATTTCT